GGAGCAACCACCGCCCCCAGTGCCACCCAAAAAGCTGCTGTCGCCAGAGGAGCCCGCGGTGAACGAGCTGGAGTCTGTCAAGGAGAATAACTGCGCTTCCAACTGCCACCTGGATGGGGAGGCGACCAAAAAGCTGATGGGGGAGGAGACCCTGGCGGGGGGCGACAAATCAGACCCAAACCTCAATAATCCCGCGGACGAGGACCACGCCTATGCTCTACGGATGCTGCCCAAGACCGGCTGCGTGATCCAGCCTGTGCCAAAACCCACAGAGAAGGCTGCCATGGCACCGTGTGTCATCTCCTCGCCCATGCTCAGCGCCGGCCCCGAGGACCTGGAGCCGCCGCTCAAAAGGAGGTGCCTCCGAATTAGAAACCAGAATAAGTAAAAGGTTTGTATGTCCGCCTGGGCACTCCTCCAAGAGCCAATGTCCCTCTCCTTGCTTCTTAGAAGGCGGAGGCGAGATGTAGCCATCACAATCCTGTCCCTTACCTCTTTCACCGTGCACTATCCTACACCTATGACACCTGGCAGTGTTTAGTACACCATTACCGGTTTACAGCCTAGAGGCGGCTTAAGCACCACCATCACTCAAGCCCTTGAACCCAAGAGGAAAACATACTCTTTTGCTACATGTTTGTTTTCTTCTTCTTCCCAGGTTTATACCCAATTTACCCCACCGGAAAAGTGGGTGGGGGAGGGAAGATTACTTGAGTAATCATAATGTTTAGTCATGTTGCGGGGCAGTATTGAAGTGACGGGGATCCCATCACGTGGGCAAACATGGGAAGCCTGCTTAACCGACTGTCATCCTAACTTGTCCAGATAACCATAGGATCCCATCTGTGGGCTAAAATTTAAAAACCAACCTTCCTCCCAACCTGCCGTGTAAGCCTTTTGGACTCGGTGGCTGAGCTGGTGATTCTCACTTCTACATACAAACCTTGATGAAGTGGGAGGGCTCATCTCTGACCATGTCTGATCTCTGAATCCCAAGCCACTGAGGGTGAGTCCAAGGCTACTGTGAGATGGTGGGGACCACATGTGAGCCACTGTAGTGACTCATGCCAATACTAGTGAAGTAGGTGTCTTGTTAGGGTTTCTATTGCTGTGGAGAGACACCATGACCATGGCGACACTTATAAAGAAAAAGCATTTCATTGGAGGTGGTGTCTTCCATTTCCAGAGGTTTATTCCGTCATCATCATGGTGGGACATGGTGGTGTGCAGGCAGACATGGTGCTGGAGGAGTAGCCCGTGTCCTACATCTTGACTTGCGGGCAACAGGAAGTGAACTGAGTGTCACACTGAACAAAGCTTGAGCAAGGGAGACCTCAAAGCCCGCCCCCACAATGTCATGCTTCCTCCAACAAGGCCACACCTACTCCAACAGAGCCACACCTCCCAATAGCAGCACCACCCCCTTTGAGGGCCATTTTCTTTCAAACCACCACAGTAGGCATTGGAAGCACACTCCCAAGAAGGAAGCTGTGGGTTAGAGATTTTTGCTCAGTCAGAGCTGGCCAGTGGGGGACCCATTGTTGATTCCAGGCCTGTCCACCCAAACACAGAGTGTGAGCTCTCCCATCTACCCAAGCGGGCAAGAAGCCAAAACTTAAGTTGTTTATTAACCATTTAGGGAAAGGAAAAGAGAGACGGGCACTCCTTCAGCAATTAACTTGAACACTGCTCTCTCTTTGGGCTGGGGAACACACCCCCCAAAAAATGTTCTACTGGGCTGTCTCAAGTCCTAAAGTGAGAGACGTAACCCAGGCAGAAAGGGGTCTGGCAAGGGGAGGCAAGAAGAGTGTTCTCCACACTTCTGTGCAGGCTCTCCTGAGTGTTTTCGCACTAGTATGTCTTTGTAGCTAGATCCATAGAACAATTATCTTCATTCTCCTAGTGGAGAAATAGGATTGGGGGAACGTGACCAAGATTGCCTAACCTTGAGCAATCTTGATTCAAATCAAGAGTGAGCAGAGTTGTGATTCAAATCCAAGTTGTGAACTGCGGAGCTCAGTCTCCTGTAACACACTGCAGGAGAGTCACCTAAGGCTCATCCATCACTGTGCTGATAAAAATCCTCTTACTGCCTTGGAGGAGAGTCGACAAAACACCACAAGCCTCTGCTTACCAGTGCCCCCAGATTTTCATTCTTGTTTTTCCAGCCACAACCACAATCCTAGACCACCAACCTGCTGCTTCCAAGTGGGGACATGGGCACCTCCCTTGCAGCCAGGGGCTTGAGTGGAAGCCCTGAACCAGAGCAGAAGGCTTATTGCCTAGTGTGAGAATCTTTTCTCTGTCACCATAGTTCAGGGTCTCCTTTTCTACTGGTGGCTTTGCCAATAGAGCAGAACACCAGAAACGAGGTCACCATTCCTTCCCAATTAGCTCTACAATTTCTGCAGTCTGAAGACAGGTGGCCTGAACTTTCTCACAGGTACCTCAATGGAAAATGCCCTAGATATTTTAATCTGCTTGACAGTGCTTTAAGTGAAAGATTGATATATGACAGAACAAATGAGCAAAAAACCCTTCAGAAAGTCCTGGGAAGCATCATTTACATAAACACACAGTCAAGGCATTAAAGGAAGAGTGGGGGGAGAAAGAGGACTCAGCTACTACAGTCAGAAGTGACCAGGCCAGGAACAGGGACGCTGCCCTATAGGTTAGCTAAAGACGAAAAGATCGTTAAATGCATAAGCTGTTTGGGTGAGTAACCAGGTTAGGGTCTTGTTTGTACACCAGCATCAGTACTAAAGATGTTAACTTGGCCTTAGCCGATTCTAGAAGATGGTGGGACCAAATTGCCTCTTAACTCTTGTGATGGGAGAATTGTTTTTATGGTGCTTCCCCCAAAGAAATTGTGTCTCTTTTTTAAAGTCGGAAGCAGGTTTTGTGGGCTGCCAAGAGGAGGCAGAGCAAGAGATTTAAGGAGGGGGACCATGTCTCCAGGGAGTCAGCACCCTTCCCTGGAGGCCACTGGTCCCATGCACCTCCCAGCCCAGCCTCCACTTGCTATAATCACCCACTCTTTGCTCTTCTGATTTCCTGGGCCCAGGAGGTTCTGTGCTGGTCCCTACATCTTCAGGAACTCAGTTTGTTCACGTGGGGGAAGGAAACTGGAAATACATCTATTCACTAAGGACCGAGTAGCTTCTCTGCCGTAATAATAAATACACTTGGACAACAAGTTAACGCCAAACTGAAAGCATAAAAACAAAACAAAACAAGGGCTGGGGAGATGCTTCACCCATGTAAAAAGTGAGGCGCCATAATATGCACTTGTAATCCCAGCAGTGGGAGACAGATGGGAGGGTCTCTGGGTCTTGCAGGACACCCGGTGTAGCTAAATCAATTGTCTCAAGGTTAAGCAAATGTTGCCATCTCAAAAAATAAGATGGGATACGATTGGGGAATACGCCAACCTCTGGAACCCGTATGACACACACATACTCCCAATAGGGATGAGACAGGCAGTGAGGCGCGGGTGAGACTGCCCACACACTTTTGGTAATGCCTCACAGGGCGGCTCTCAGAGGTCTGTAACTACACAGTGCTTTTCATTCTTCCCTCCACGTTCACCTCTTTCATACTATACCCCGGTCTTAAAGGACATATTCTGAAATCAGCGAGCCAGCCACACTTGCCTTCAAAGAATCTAACATTTGCTAGATTTTTTTTTTTTTTGGAAATGGCAGCCTCCTCCCTCTCCCATTTTGAGATTATTCTGTTCCTGCTTTCCTGACCTTATTCATTCTTGCTTGTTCATATGGCCAAAAATGGTTTCAGCGGGCAGATGTTTCTCCCAGATGCAAAACTGATTAAATTTAGTTGAAGATTTTTTAAAAGGCTGTAAACTCCCTCTAATCTCCATTGTTTATAGCTCTGGATACCAGTCCTCCAGCTTCGGTAGCCAGAAAAAAAAAATAGCTTAAATAATAAGGAAAACAATGTATAAATACTGTCCAAACTCTTCTATCCACAAAGAATCCCATTTAAAAATGGGCTAGTCTCCTCTTTGTTGTTGTCTGCGAGCTTGGTAAATAGCTGTTTGCATCACACAGTCTCCAGGTTTCTACAGTTTACACTTGTTGATGGTACATCGGGGAGTTCAGAATGACCGTGTATGAATTCTTGAAAATATTCAAAGCAAATATTCCCCATTCCTCGGTTTTCCAAAAAAATAACGTATTTTTAAACAGAGTAATCAATGAGAAAATGAAGACCAGGAGTAACCAATCCTTCCACCTCCATCCTCCTTGTTCTTCTGGAGCAGAAGAGCCACACAGCTCCACCCACCCCCGTGGCTCTCCAATCTCTTACACGTTTCTATAAATGCTCCTCCCTGCTCAGCAGCAGAAGCTACCCTTTGCATCTGGAGAAAACTGGAGGAGGGTCATGTACATTGGGTTTTCTGGAGCTTTGTCTGGTCATTGTGTGACATCACACCCCTGAAATCACTGTTCCACAACATAATGTTAGCTTCACTGGGGAAGGCAGCAGGGGGAAGGGAGAACGTCGCCAGCTTTGTTTCTCATATTGAGAAGGCCAAGAGAGCAGGCTCTCTGGGAAGAAGTGGGAAAAAAAGTCAGACTAATACATGGGTGCCCACTTTTAAAGAAAAACAGGGCAAGGAGAGGAAATGGGTACAAATGGGCATCCTCCGTTCTTAGACCAGACCTGGGCTGTTTAAGCTGCAGTATTTAATGATTAGAAGTATTCACTGGGTGACGGTCCCTGAGTTCAAAGTTATCCTGTCTCACAGTAAGCACTTGACTATAGGGTTCAAGGAGAGAGTATACAGAGAGCCACCTGGGGATTCATATACACCCAGAACTGGTGAGCACCTGGGAGTGCTGGCCGTGACCACTTCCGCTTTCTGAAATGTCAGTGACAAGATGGGGCACAGAAATCTCTTCTATCCAGTGAACTCTGGCTGCCTGTACCCTCAGTATCAGGGGTTCTAAGAGGAAGGACCTGAATGTGCAGCTTTTCGATACTGTAGCGAGGCTCTGCGGGAATGTGGGGATGACCCGTGGGCAGGTGTCTAGTGCTTTGGGATGGAGCCTGTCACTGGAGCAGTGCCGGAACTGAATTGAGACAAGAGAAACATTTGATGCCCAACCTTGCAAACGGTACCCACTCCATCGATCTTGGAAGTGCAGTGTTTCCAAGATCTTCTAGCCCAAATGGCAAAAGGGTTATCTTGCATCGTTAGTAAGCAATGTCAGGAACTGGGAGTTTTTCTTGTTGCTCCAAGAAAGCTGAGTTAATTATCCAATTAAAACCAAGAGTTTATTTTTGGCAGTCTTTTGCCATGAACCTAATGTCACAAAGTCACAGTGATGCCCTTAAATGATTGCCTCAGTGACACAGTGTGAAAAA